TATCTCACACAGACGATTGAACCTGGGTCCCTGGCGCTGTAAGGCAGCAGTGCTGTGCACTGAGCTACTGCACTGCTCGTAAACTGAACCCATTAAATTCCATGTCATGTTGTGGGCTGACAAGAAGATTTAGCAATTAAATTTTTGCTCTGCATTGTACCTGTATGCGCAATTGAAACTTCAGATTTGAAGTGATGATTTGTTGGAATTGTTTTTTAAATTCCAACTATTATGTCAGAAAAAAACCCCAGGAAATTGTTTTGAGTAAAGTGCTCCTTACCAGTGAGCTCAACATTCAAAATGAAATGTTGCTTCATCAATGGGAGCACAAAGGGCACAGGAGATGACCATTGCGTCTGTGCCAGATGAAAAGACGACTCCCACATTTCTGCTGTTTAGTATCTCTATAGCTTGTGACACTTCAATGCCTTTTCAGTACTTTTTAAATGGAATACAGGATCTGCCTGTACCACCTTTCCAAGCAGTCAGTTCAACATCCTCAGCACCCTGTGAATGAAAAGCTGTGCCTCAAGTAGGTCAGGAAATCAATGGCGATAGATGAGCAGAGCGAAGATAGAAAGCTAACTTTAAACAATTAGACAGGAGTGAATAGTCAGTAATGTGCCCGTTACCACTGTCTGCCGAGACCAGGAACCAAGTGATTGTGTGTCCACTCCTAGGATGCTGTGGGAGGGAAGGAAATGAATGCTGGGAATGGATGCAGACCCAAAAGCCTTCACTTTTGGTCTGAAGTGCAAATGGTTGGCGTGCGTGAAGGAGGCAGGGAAGTAATTAGCAGTATGGTTTAGATTTTGAGGAGAGTTTTAGTATGGGCTTAGGAAAATTCAAGTCTGCAAGAGTGCGCTTGATCCAGAAGGGCTTGCTATCATTGGTAAAATGAAGAGGAGGAGAGACACAAATTGTCACTCAGTACTCACTTGGATGAAAGGCTGCACGTAATAGAGTATAATCCATCAGGGAGCTTATATAGGTCAGTGTGGACTGGGGTGTGCACAGGATCTGGACTTTCTGTAGGATTGGATGTCAAGGGCAGACAGCAGAAATTTGGATAAAATAGGAGTTATTGTAGGATAATACTTTGTTTAAATCAGGCATGACAGTGAGGAAATGTTTGTTTTTGTACTGATTTGAATTAAGTAAGCCTAATAATAACTTGTGTTCTGTATATTTACCAGCTGTCCATGAAAGAAAGCAGTTTACCCACTTATTTCTAACTCTGTGTATTTTTGCCAAGTTTCTGCTCAGTCCACCTTTGCAGGGTTTGGAAAAGCATGTGAGGCATGGGTGAAAAGCACAGTATTTGAGTTGTATGTCAAGAAGAGGATGTGTTGATTTATACCGTGTGTTATACTATAGTAAAAGTAAATACTGGACAATGAGCGTGAACTCCAGAACATAAGGGAGAGAGGATCCACACACAGGAGCTCTTGATGCTGCTGATTTTGAAAACCATTCTACACTTTTAATATTTTCCATTCTGACTCGGAGCTTTTCAGTCCACTACCCACAATCTCCTGGCTTGACCAAGTTGATGCAAGGGACAGTCTTTGTTTTGGGGCATGTGAGACAGCAATCAATGGAGTGAGAGCAGTAACAAAGGAGGAAATGTTTACTTATGTAACCTTTTTTCTAATACTACCCATTGGAAAGATTCTGAAGTTTCTACTGCTGAGAAAAGAATTTGAGTCTCTGCATGTACTTTACATGTGAGACAATTTCAACATGGCACTGACTGTGTTTTGGCACTCTGTCTAACTCTGGCACTCATACTGGCAGGTGGACACTGAAGACCAGTAGATGACCACCATGAGGAGATAGTACAGAGAAGCCCAAACTAATCCATACCTGTTGACCACTGCCTAACAGCTCATTCAGATACAGGAGCCCACTCCTCTGTCTTCTTCCTGGTCCTTATTTTGCAATCTATTCACAAAGCAGTGGAAGCTTCTGAAAATTGCATTCCTGGTACACATTACATAAGTTCAGGATTTCCTTTTGTTTTTGTCTCTTCATTTGCGGTTTACCAGTCGCTAAAGGGCTGGTGATCTTTGTTTTGCCATGGACCTGTTAAATGTTGGAGAAGATTTCCAATGTTCAAGGCTGGGTTAATTTTCCTACTGCTGGCAACGTTCATTCCCAACCTTCTGAAACATCTCCAGTGTTGCTTGGAACATCCAAGTGAACCATTTTGTTCTTTGAACATGAAAACAACATCATTTTAGTTGGTCTTTACATTTTCTCCTTTCTCTCTTTTTTTTTGAGAAGTATCGTTTATTTTGAATTGAGAATGCCCAAGTGCTGACTGTGAAAATTTCTAGCATGCCATGCGATCTTTGCAGGTTGACCAATGAGCCTGATACATTCAGAGACTATGGTTTATCACAGCTTTGGGTTTGTGTGCTGGAGCTGTGACATTGGCTTCTGAGATACATGAAATTGAAGTTTTAGCTCCTATTGAGAAATCAATTAAGTTAGCCTCAAGTAAGCAGGTGTAGGTTTGCCAAAATTCAGTTTCGTGTCTGCTGAATCGCACATTCTGACCCCATAGCATTTGTCAGAACTGAAATCAACTTCGAAAGCGTGGTATTTATGCGTCTGACAGTGGTTGGGATTGGGGAAAGAGTGAGTGGAATACACGAAGACAGTGCAGACAGAAGTTAACAAAAGACAGGCCAACAAGGGGATTTCTGCTGATAAACTGACCAGGAGATAAGTGCTGAAGACTGCTAATGAGAAATGTACATTCTTGAAAATTTACATTTGTTACCCAGTGCTACACCCTAAGTCCTGTTTTATATGGGTTGCACCCAGCACAGTCAATCCATTTGTAACCATTCACACCTCTCATTAGCACCCCACTCAGCATTATCTCCCTGTCAGTTTATCATCAGCAATCCCTTTGTTTGCCTCTCCTATCCTTTCTCGCTCTCTCTCTCGTGCTCGCTCTCTCTCTCTCCCAGCCCTGTTTCCATGTACTTAGTTCACTTCTTCCCTGATACCACCCTTTTCCAGCTTCTTTCAGTTCTTACGACTGGTCACTGCAATCCAAACATTAACTCTCTTTCTTTCTGTATAGATGTTGCCAGACCTGTTGATTTTTCTCCAGGACTTTTTGTTTTTATTTCAGATTTCCAGCATGTGCAGTCTATGTCCTACTGTTTTTCTATATGAGAGATGGCAAGAACTGGAGATGCTGGAGTCAGAGTCAATACAGTGTGGAGGAACACAGCAGGCCAGGCAACATCAGAAGAGCAGGAAAGTCAACATTTTGGGTTTACATCTTTCATCAGGACTCGTACAACATTATGAATCAATGGAGGGGGGGATGTTGCAGTCCTTGAAGTAGGAGGACATCTGGGATGTCTGGGAGTGGAACGCTCCATCTTGGGTGTAGATATGGCAGAGGTGGAGGAATTGAGAGTAAGGGATTGCATTCTTGTAGGAGGGTGGGTGAGAAAAGGTGTAGTCAAGTTAGCTGTGGGAATTGGTGGGTTTGAAATAGATGTTGGTGCTAAAACAGTTGCGGAGATGGAAATGGAGAGACCCAGGAAGGAGAGGGAGGTATCGGAGATGGTCCAGGTGAACTTGAGATTGCGGTGAAAGTGTTAGTAAAGTTGACGAACTGTTCAAGCTCCTTGTGGGAGCATGAGGCAGCACCGATATAGTTAATGATGTAGCGGAGGAAGAGGTGAGGGATGGTGCCAGTGTAACTGCGGAAGAGGGACTGTTCCACGTATCCTATGAGGATACAGGCATTGCTCAGACCCATACGGATGCCCACAACCACCCCTTTAGTCTGTAGGAAGTGGGAGGAGTTAAAGGAAAAGTTGTTGAGGATGAGGGCAAGTTCAGCCAAGTGGATGAGTGTGTCGGTGGAGGGGACTGGATGGACCTGCAGGAGAGGAAGAAAGGGAGGGCGTTTAGGCTATTCATGTGGGGGATACAGGTGTAGAGAGACTGAATGTCCACGTTGAAGATGAGGTGTTGGGGGCCAGGGAATCGGAAGTTTTAGGAGGAGGTGGAGGGGGGTGGTGTCCTGGACGTAGGTGGGGAGTTCCTGGACCACGGGGGAGAAAATGGAGTGGAGATAAGTTCAGTGGGGCAGGAGCAGGCAGAGACAATGGGCTGGCCAGGGCAGTCGGGTTTATGGATTTTGGGAAGGAGATAGAAACGGGTGGTGTAGGGTTGGGGAATGATGAGATTGGAGGCTGTGGTTGGGAGGTCACCTGAGGTGATGAGGTTAGTGATGGTTTGGTGGTCAGGGGTGGGGTCATAATTGAGGGGGACGTTAGAAGGAGGTGTCAGAGAGTTGGCACCTGGCCTCTGCAATGTAGAGGTCAGTACGCCATACCACTACCTCACCACCCTCCACCCCCTTATCAGCGGGTTTGATGGTGAGGTTGGCGTTGGAGCAGAGAGCTGTGTGTTCCGTGGAAGAGAGGTTGGAATGAGTGAGACGGGTGGAGAGATTCAGGTGATTGAGAGTCCTGATGAAGGGTGTAAACCTGAAACGTCGACTTTCCTGCTCCTCTGATGCTGCCTGACCTGCTGTGTTTTTCTATATCATGTGCTGGTACTTCAGAACACTTAGAAACCATGAGTTAGGGCATATAGTATGAGCAGTCTTAACCCCAACACAGAACACAAGGCACAGGATGTAAGCTAGTGGGAAGGGAGATTAAGAAACAAATGTTGAGAGGAAGCAATTTTATATAACAATCATAAAGCAGAGAGAAAATTGAAGTGAGAAGACATGTACAAACCTAACTAACCACACAAAATCTAGGCTGAGTTATCAGGGGATTTAAAGTGAACCCAGCACCAACCTTATAATTAAAGCACCAAACCATTTCCAGCAAAGGAGACAGTCATTTGGTCAAATCTGCTAAATCATTCTGGAAAGTTCCATAATGTGTAGTCATAATACTAAGAGTGAGCACATTCCCACTGTTAATTCTCCAAATCATCTTTCCTTACAGATTCTCTATGATAGTCCTAAGGCACGACGAGAAATCGATATGCATTGGAGAGCCTCCAGCACCCTCCACATTGTCCAAATCATCAATGTCTATGAGAACATGCACCATGGAAAGCGCTGTCTCCTGATAGTGATGGAATGGTGAGTGAAAATCCAAGGGGAAGTGACAAGGTTTGCGAGAACAATAAAATAACAATGTTGTAAAGTGTAGGAGAGAAAATATGGTAAAGAACGAATTATACTGGGAGATCGGGGGAAGGGGAAATTGCTGGGATGAAATTGGCAGCTTGGAGTTATGTCCACAGGCTCGCTTCAATTCTTGGTTAACCTTGTTTTCTAGCTTTTATATCATATCCCTTAGCAACACCTTCCAGAAGCACAAACAGCATCACCTTCCATGTGCTTTGATAACCCTTGGCCTCCTCAGTCAATTCCATAACTAAGACCTGTACCAGGTGGCATTTCTCCGTTTTGATGTTGACAAATTACAAGCAGCATTCTTTTCAGAAGAGGAAACTTCTGTCCAATGATACTTAAAATACAAGTCAGAGCTTTTAAATTATAATCGGATTGTTTAAACTGTGGTCAGACTGCATCATGAATACTGTGTCCAGGTCTTGGTATAAAAACAAAGAAGGCATTTGATTGTTGGATTGTCCCTAGTTTTCACCCGTTTTGTGGGTTAAAGGTACAAGTCCATAACCAGCATTTCGCACTTGGCTGGCTCCATAGTGGGGATAGGCACGTCATAGCCCCCTAAACTCATCCTGGAGTCCGGCTGCTTTCCAGGGTCTTTTGGTTCATGACACCTTAGGTGTCTGGATAAGGGAACCGTTTGAAAGGTTGTCTCCAAAAAATCTTACCTGTGTCACCTCCATGTCAAGCTGTGCCCACCCAACCTCAGTACAATGGCTCGTCTTACCCTTCATGCCAAGTTATGCTCCTTCAGGCACCTGCCATGATCCCTCGTAAACTGCATGCTAAGCAATGACACTTCCACATCTATTCACTCACTACACAATGTAGAGCCAATGAACTTTATAGTAAAACAGAATGTGTGAAATAATTTTAAAAGAAATCTGTTGTTCATGCGTAACTTCCTTTAAATAAAACTTTTTTTTTCTCACTTGCATGTTTATAGGGCTACACCCATACAGACCCTTTTAACATTTCAATTAAAGAAATTGCAAGCACTAGAAACTTTACCTGTGTAAATAAACATTGTGCAATTAACAGTATTTTCTGAGCAAGAAATGGATCATTTCCAAGTGGCAGCCAGTGACTGGTGGATATCACAGGGATCTGTGTTTGGACTTCAACTTATGTTAATTATTTGGATGTGGGATTTAATATAATATCTCCCAAATTGCAGATGAGACAAAGCTGAGTGGGAGGGTGAACTAAGGATGCAGAGGTGCTTCAGTGTGATTTTTAGACAAGTTGTGTGATTTTAGACAAACACACGGCAGATTATGTTTCATGTGGGTAACTGAGAGACCATCCACTTTTTGGTAGCAAAAACAGGAAGGCAGATTATTGAATCGTGACTGATCAGGAGAGGGGGAGGTGCAACAGAACCTGGATGTCCTTGTACACCAGTCGCTGAAAGTAGGCATGTGGGTGCAGTGGGTTGTGATGAAGGTAAATGATATGTTGGCCTTCACTGCAAGAACATTTGAGTGCAGGAGCAGGGAGGTCTTGCTGCAATTATACAGGGCCTTGATGAGACCATACCTGGAGTATTGTGTGCAGTTCTGATCTTCTTCTCTGAGGAAGGATGTTCTGTCTATGGAGGTTTACCAGACTGATTGCTAGAATGGAAGGACTGGCGTATGACAAGAGATCGAGTCGGTTAGGATTATACTCACTGGAGTTTAGAAAGTTGGAGGTGGGGGTGATCTTATAGAAACCTATAAAATTCTAACAGGACTGGCCAGAGTAAATGCAGGAAGCATGTTCCTGATAACTGCAGATTTCAGAATCCGAGGTCACAATCTAAGGATACCGGGTAGGTCATTTGGGATTGAGATGAGGGGAATTTGTTCAGCCAGAGAGTGGTGAGCCTGTGGAATTCTTTGCCAGAGAAAGTGGCCAAAGCAATATTTTCCAGCAGGAGTTAGATCCAATTCTTGGGGATAAAGGGATCAAAGGATAAGTCATTGAAAGTAAGAACAGGGTACTAATTTGTATGAATGATCATATTGAATGGCCGAGCAGACTTGAAGGGCAGAATGGCCTACTCCTGCTCGTATTTTCTGTCTTTTTATGTTAAGAGCCATCGGACAAGGTGTGGTTTCTCTGTGGTGTAACTGTCTCAACAGAGTATTGGGTGTCTGGCCTCTCATCCAGCATTCTTGATGAAGAATGTAAGAGGGATGGAGGAGAAGACCATGTGCTGTTACAGTTATCAATGTGCTCATGTTATAGGTTACGTTGTGCACTCTGCTTCAACTTTGTTCCTGCAGGAACCAAAAACCCAATTACCTGCTGTTTTATAGGGACCTTCATGCACATCACACCTCCCCAAACCTTTTAATTTTCCTGTCTATAGTTTTACCAGGCTTTCTAGAGAATGTGCGAAGCTACATGTTATACAGCATAGTTGAAGTGTAAGCTGGGTGATTGACATAAATATACATTCATTTGTCAGTACTTTTTTGGCAGTCAAAGTTGGAGTGAATTTCCACAAACTTTTTCCAATTAACCGGCATAACTTTGGTAGGAACCATAGAGACCATATGCTGGCCCTAGAGGGAATGAAGAGTAGTTTATCAAAATTTTACTGGAACTGTGGTGTTAAATTACATGGAATGCTGATATATACCAGTGTGGTATTCCCCTGGAGTTTAAAAGGACTAAGATTTCAAGATATTAAAGACAACAGATATGGTGAAGACAGAAACTTCTTCCATTGGTTGGGAAGTATTAGACTAGGGCCATAGTCAAAAATTAGAGCCAGATCTTTCCTGAGTGAAATTAGGAAACATTTATACACACAAAGGTTGGTGAAACTTGGGAACTCTGTTTTGTAAATTCTAATTGATGCTAGATCAATTCTAACTTTAAGGGTCCTTCTGAAGAAGGGTCCTGATCCGAAACGTCAGCTTTCCTGCTCCTCTGATGCTGCCTGGCCTGCTGTGTTCATCCAGCTCCACACTGTATTATCCTTGAGAGTCCAAATGTCTGTCTTCTTGAACATAAATGAACAGTTTAAAGCACAACTGTTTATAAATTGATATGCTCAACAACTTTTTTTCTGTGACTTTGGACATTCATTGTCACCACTGTTATCATACAGTCTGCTGATTTGTATTCAACCATAAATAGTTTGCGCCTATTTTCCAGTAAACAATTTAAGCCTTCCTTTGATGCCTTGTAATCAAACCTAACTGGCTTACTCGCAGACAGATTCCAAAACCACTCATAGAATCCCCTTCCTTTTGCCTTAAATTTAATCACACAGTCCCAAAACACAGTGAACCAAAAAACCCATCTGGTTCACTAATGTCCTTTAGGGAGGGAAACTGCCATCCTTGCGGGGAGGCAATGGCCTACTGGTATTATCGCTGGACTGTTAATCCAGAGACCCCAGTAATGTCCTGTTCACCTGGGTTCGAATCCCGCCACGGCAGATGGTGGAATTTGAATTCAATTAAAATCTGGAGTTAAGGATCTAATGATGATCATAAATCCATTGCTGATTGTTGGGAAAAATCCATCTGGTTCACTTATGTCCTTTAGGGAAGGAAACTTCCTGACCTGGCCTACATGTGGCTCACAGCAATGTGGTTGACTGCCCTCTGAGCAATAAATGCTGGCCTAGCCAATGACACCCTCATCCCGTGAATGAATAAATTTTTAAAAAATTCCAACAACAGAATTTTGCTGATAAAGGAGATAAAGGATAAAGATGGGGTTATGGATTAGTTATGAGTTAATTGAATGAAAGGACGTGCTGAAGGACATGGCATCTGTGTTCCTGTAGGGAAAGCATCTAAATGATGTGGGTCACATTCTTGAGGATTTTTGTGCTTATCCATGCAGCTGTGGTGGTTGTTCAAGAGAATCCCCGTAAAAATGTAACCCCTGCTGATTCTTGTTGGATGTGGTCATCCAGTGCGGCTTTGTGGGTGGAGTTAAGAAAGAAGGGGAAGGTGACGTTATTGGGGTTTTACTATAGGCCCCCAAATAGTCAACGGGAATTAGAGGAACAAATGTGCAGAGAAATTGTGGAGACTTGCAGGAGCAATAGGGTTGTCATAGTGGGGGATTTTAATTTTCCTAACATAGACTGGGACTGCCATAGTGTTAAGGGCTTAGACGGGGTGGAACTTGTTAAATGTGTTCAGGAAAGTTTCCTCAAGCAATATGTAGAGGGCTCTACCCGGGAAGGGCCAAAACTTGAGCTACTGTTGGGAAATAGGGCAGGAAAGGTGACTGAGGTTACAGTGGGAGAGCACTTTGGGACCAGTGACCACAGTTCTATTAATTTTCAAAATAGTTATGGAGAGGGACAAAACTGGCCCACAGGTTCAAGTTCTAAATTGGGGCAAGGTGAATTTTGATGGAATTAGACAGGAGTTTGCAGGGGTTGACTGGAGTAGTTTGTTTGCAGGCAAAGGGACCTCTGGCAAGTGGGAGGCCTTTAAAAGTGTGATACCTAGAGTTCAATGTCTATATGTTCCTGTGAGGGTGAAGGGCAAGGTTGGCAGGAGTAGGGAACCCTGGATGACAAGAGATATTGAGGCTTTGACCAGAAAAAAGAAGGAGGCATGGCTCAGGAACAGGCAGCTGGGATCGAGGGAATCCCTAGAGGTATATAGGGGATACAGGAGTTTACTGTATGTGGCATGAGATAACTTTGGCTGAGAAGATTAGGGTGAATTGAAAGAGATTCTTTAAGTACATTAAAGGAAAAAGAATAACTAGAGACAGAATAGGACCCCTCAAGGACCAAAGTGGAACTGCAGGAGATGGGCAAGGTCCTCAATGAATATTTCTCCCCTGTGTTTGCCATAGAGAGAGACATGAAGACTTGGGAACTTGAGGAAGTTACTGGCGATATCTTGGAGTCAGTCCATATCACAGAGGAGGTGTTGGAAGTATTAGAATGTAAGAAGGTGGATAAATCTCCTGGTACTGATCAGATATATCCAAGAACTCTGCAAGAGGCTAGAGAAAAAATTGTGAGGGCCCTGGCTGATGTATTTGCATCACCGTTAGCCATGGGTGAGGTCCCGGAAGATTGGAGGATGGCGAATGTTGTGCCCTTATTCTAGGAGGGCTGCAGAAAAACCCTGGGAATTATAGACCAGTAAGCCTTACATTTGTGGTAGGTAAGTTATTTGAGAAGATTCTGAGGGATAAGATATACATGCATTTGGAAAGACAGGGTTTGATTAGCAGTAGTCAGCATGGTTTCGTGCGTGGGAGATCATGCCTCACAAGTTTGTTAGAGTTCTTTGAAGTGACCAGGAAGATTGATGAGGGCAGGGTAGTAGACGTAGTCTATATGGATTCCAGTAAGGCCTTTGATAAGGTTCCACATGGTAGGCTGCTCTGGAAGGTTAGATTGCATGGAATCCAGGGAGAGCTGGAAAATTGGACACACAGTTGGCCTGATGGTAGGAAGCAGAGTGTAATAGTGGAAGAAGTTTGTTGGACTGGAGGCCTGTGACTAGTGGTGTACCTCAGGGTTTGATGCTGGGCCCATTGCTGTTTGTTATCTATATCAATGATTTGGATGAGAATGTACAAGGCACGATTGGCAAGTTTGCAAATGACACTAAAATAAGTGGTATAGTGGACTGTGAGGAAGATTATCAGAAATTGCGACAGGATCTTGATCAGACGGGGAAGTGGGCCGAAAAATGGCAAATGGAATTTAATATAGATAAGTGTGAGGTGTTGCATTTTGGAAAATCAAATCAAGGTAGGAATTTTATGGTGAGTGTTAGGGCCTTGAGTGTAGTGGAACAGAGGAAACTTGGAGTTCAGGTGCACGGTTCTGTGAAAGTGGAGTCACAGGTAGACAGGGCAGTGAACAGGCTTTTGGCACACTGGCCTTCATCAGGCAGGGCATTGAGTACAGAAGCTGAGAAGTTATGTAGCAGGTGTACAGGACGTTGGTGAGGCCGCACTTGGAGTATTTTATTCAATTTTGGTCACGTTGCTATAGGAAGGATGTTATTAAACTGGAAGGAGTGCAGGAGGAATTTACAAGGATGTTGCCAGGATTCAAGGGACTGAGCTATAGGGAGAGGTTGGACAAGCTAGGAGTTTTTTCTTTAGAGCGTAGGAGATTGAGGGGCGATCTTAGAAGTGTATAAGACCATGAGAGGCATGGATAGGGCAAATGCGCTCAGTCATTTTCTCCAGAGTTAGGGAATCGAGGACTAGAGGGCATCAGTTTAAGGTGAAAGGGGAAAGAATACATGGGAACCTGAGGGGCAACTTTTTTACACAGAGGGTGGGACGCATATGGAATAAGCTGCCAGCGGAAGTGGTTGAGGCGGGTACATTAACAACATTTAAAAGGCATTTGGCTGAATACATGGATTGGAAAAGTTTAGAAGGATATGGGCCAAGTACAGGGAAATGGGGTTAGTGTGGATGGACATTTTGGACCAGTTTAGGTCGAAGGGCCTGTCTTTCTGCTTGGGGACTCTATGACTCTATAAGTGCAGCAGACCTCTAACACCTCAGTTGAATGTCACTCTTCATATGGTAATCACATTATTCGACTATGGTAGGCATCATCATTTGTCCAGTGCCAAGGGGAGAAGGATAACTGAACAGTGACCAGAAATAAGGACCCTTAAGGTATTTCCTATACCTAGTGGCTGCTTGATGGTGTTCATATTTTTTTGTTTTAAAATAAGTAATTTTATAACGTCTTTATCAATGTAATTGAGATGAATTTATCTCTGGTTAACCTAGTTAAGGACTTTGAATGGGACAGGATATTTTCTATTGTTCTGTATCTCTGTTGTCACACATCTGTTAGGATAGGAAGCCATGAAATAATTTTGAGTATAAAATGCAGAGGTCAAATCCTCTGGGTAATTGCCAAGCCCATCGCTAACCCTACCATTTCTCTCTTGCTCTCTGACTGCTATCGCTCCCTAACAGTATGGAAGGAGGTGAATTGTTCAGCAGGATCCATGATCGAGGTGATCAGGCATTTACCGAGAGGGGTAAGTCGTGAGGCGCAAGATTCAAAATAGTTTTACTGTTGTCCTGAACACAATCCGTGACCTTCCCTCATTGCCAGACAATCAACAGGGGAATTAACTGTGGGTATAAATATCGCACATATGTCAGTCAAACTCAAGGGCGCAGTTCTAGTTACCTCATCGTAGGAGGAATCTTGTAGCTCTTTCAAGGAAGCAGAGACGAATCGCCAATTCCATATCCGGATTTTATATTATCAGAAAAGGCTGGGGCAGTTTTGTTTGTTTTAAAGCAAGGTGATCTTGGTGTCCAAGGTAATGAAAGGAAAGATGCAAAACATAGAGGCAAATTGTTCACTGCACTGGGGGCGTCTGCATCAAATACCACAGGATAGATGTCAGGTGTAAAGAATAGCACCAGATTGAGCCCTTTTTTTTGTAAACAAAGAATCATATATCCGTATAGAAAGATACTGAATCAGAGATAGTAGGAACTGCAGATGCTGGAGAATCCGAGACAACAAGGTGCA